GGGTGGGAGGTGAGGTGTCGGGGGGGCCCTCCCGCGCAGCTCACCCCAGCCCACAGCTTCACCCTTACCTGTGCGGGGCTCCGGGGAGACCCTGGGATTCACCCCAGCCCTGCTCTCCATCCCAGGGCACCCCTGTCCACCCACAACCCCCCTCTTGGCTGAGCTCTCACCCCACTGCCTGACTCTCAGGTGGTTTGGTTCTGCTGTTAAAACCCACCAGCCCCCAGGACCGGGGTGTTGTCCTGCCTCCTGGATCTCTTGTTGAAACACCTTTATTTAGGGAAGGATTCAGGGATGGGGCCTTTTATTCACGAGAGCTGTGGGGCTGCTTGTTGCGGGTGCCCCCCTCGTTTGCCATGAAGGATGTAGAAGCGCCATTCGTCCGGAGTCCACTGCAGGTCCCGTGGGTGCAGCAGTGCCACTGTCACGTGTTTCTCCTCTTCCTTTCCACTTCTGGGGGCAGTTTCTGAGGATCCCGAGCCCCAGGATCGATACCATGGGATTTACTTCGCCATGCTGCTGGCCGGGGTGGGATTTCTTCTGCCGTACAACAGCTTCATCACCGACGTGGACTACCTGCACCATAAATACCCAGGTAGGTCTCCAGCAGCTGCAGCACGGCCCAGCCACCCCAAACCTGGGGAGAGCTCGGCCCCACTTCCAGGGGAGCTGGACACCCACCTCCCTCCCCGTATCGCCTGCCTCTCCGCAGGGACCTCCATTGTCTTCGACATGAGCCTCACCTACATCCTGGTGGCCTTGGTGGCCGTCATCCTCAACAACGCGCTGGTGGAGCTGCTGAGCTTGCACACCCGGATTGCTGTGGGTGAGTGGGGGGTGTCTCCACAGCCCCCGCCAGCACCAGCCCCACACTGCACACACATACACACACCCCCACGCGCCTCCATCTCCCACCCACAGGCTACCTCTTCGCCCTGGGGCCCCTGCTCTTCGTCAGCATCTGCGACGTCTGGCTGGAGCTCTTCACGCGCAGACAAGCCTACGCCATCAACCTGGTCGCCGTCGGGGTGGTGGCCTTTGGCTGCACAGGTACGAGGGACAAGCAGGCTGGGGGAATATCCACACCCCCAAGAGCCGTGGTCTCCTGGGATACCCCCTTGCTCTGATCCCTGTGAGCCGACCCTCGCGTCCCTGCTTCGTCCCCTCCACCCCTATCCATGTACCGCGGGACTGGACGGGGCCCCCAGCACCAAACCATGCGTCAGTCCCCCACCCCATGAGGCCTTTTCCCTTTGGG